TTGGTTTTTTTTTGTTTTTTTTTTTTTTCATTTTTTTTTCTGCTCACCCGATCTCAAGTCTCTATCTTCAATGTAGTGTACACATCTGGGAAAGTGAGTCAAAGCTTGCCTCGTGTGGGCAATCTCACTGATCACGATGGATAGGTGGAAAAAACATGCTTAGACGCTTTTTCCACAACGTGCAGGACTCACACTGCATAAGAAAACATGGTCAGCATTACGTAGTGCACATGCCCCAACCATATGTGGAAAATGTTAACGAAGCACTGTCCGCTTCGCTGTCTTTGTGTTTCGAATGCACTGCGTGCACAGAAAATGGACAGCGGTCCACTCGTGTGCGACTGCGGCAGACCTTTCATGTCCTTACGGACTTTAAACTCGCATCGTGCGAGGGCATGCCCGGCCGTGGTGGAAGAGGGGGCACAAAGGCAGGAGAACAATGCTGCCCACGACCCGGGGTCATCCGACATGGGCGCAGCGAATCTCGCAGCTGATGACAACGACGACGCGGGGGCAGAGGACAACGCGAACGGGGCAGCGGGTAACAATGCAGAGCCGGAAGCGCAACCCGTCGAGCCTTTTGACAGCTCGCACAGGCTAGCAGCGCTTATTTTGTCCGCACGTGGCGGCGTCGGTATGTCGCATTGCGACGTTGATGCTCTCTTGTCACTTCTCAAAGACCCGAGATTCAGCGCGGCGGACATTGCGTACCGCAACAGTCGAGAGTGCTTTGCATGGGCGGGCAGTCTCGCAGAGGCCGCCGGGTGGAAGGAGTCGGACTTGCGTAGTGACGACTGGCCTGAAGGAGCGCACGCCATCTTGTGGCACCGCGATTGGCGAACTGCATTCTTGTCGATAATGCAGGTCGCGTTGCAGAAATGCGAGACGGTTCATTCCCTTGAAGTGTCCCCGCCGTCGGACGACCACAGTGTGTCCGGTCCGCGCAGTGGGGCGCTAAGCTATCACACGCAGTCAACCATTCGAGCGCACAAAGGTGTCGACGGGAATGGAAATCCACGATATGTGATCCCTCTCTCACTCTACTCCGACAAGACACACACAGACGGTCGTCAGAAGCAGACCGCATACCCTCTTATGATGTCGCTAGCCGACCACGCGTCGGAAGCCACTCTGATGGCCTATCTCCCCGTGCTTCATCATCGACCCCGTGACAAAGGATGGGGTCTTCAGTCCATCGCATTTAGGAAGCGAAAGCCCGTCATCTTCCACAAGGCCCTTTCGATGGTCTTGCAAGTTGCGAAGGAGGCATTGCACGACGGCATCACGATACCATCGACGCGATTCGGGGACGTGACTGTCCACCCTTTCCTCCTCAACTATATACAGGACTATCCAGAACGATGTGCGCTGGCGAATGTGAAGTTTGGTGTATGTCCCACATGCACCGTGTCGAAAACGGACCTCGATGTTGTGGCCGATTTCACGGACTGCAGGAGATCCCAGACGCTAGAAACCCAACTCGCAGAAGCCCTGTTCACAGCGGACGACGATGACGTGCGCCGCGAAGCGGGAGGGCGAATGGCAGAGTTGGACATGCATAGGCATGTTGAACGGAACGGCCTTTGGGGGTTCTACAGGGGGCCGAGCGGCGATGATCCTCAGCTAGACTACCACCTCGCGTTGCAACCAGACCGTATGCACACGATCGAAGATGGCATATTCCTGCACATGGTCGACGCATTCAGGGCGGCAGCCTTTGAGAAGTTGCCGCACACACCGCAAACTGAGATCCTGAAGGAACTCGATGCAAGATTGCAATGTGTTAGTGAGAGATGTACGCGAACATATCCCCAACTTGTGCTGCCCGTGGCCACAGGCAGCGATTTTTTTTCTAGAGAGGGATGCTTCGAGGTGTACGTACGTTTGTTTCAGCGCACAGCACACACTCAAGCTTCCCTCGACGAATGCGACGCGTTGATGACGGACTTCGTAACGACCATCAAAGCGAAATTGGGAAGATACCAACCATCGAATTGGAAACTCCCGAAGTTGCATGATCTTATGCACATGAGAGCGAGTATCGAGCGATCTGGTGTGGCCGACACATTCGCTGCAGACGTTTGGGAGCATCACCACAGGAGATTCTGCAAACAACCGTACTTGTCATCGAACAAAAGAAAAGCGTCAACGCAGATGGTCGACCACGTGCGCCGGTCGCTGGCGTTGCAGGAGGAGACCGGAATCGTAAGGAAAAGAAGGAAAAGGGTCGTTGACAATAGGTCTTCTGTGACGGACTGTATGGCAACGGGGTTGAACACCCTGACACTACGCGACACGTCAATCCTTCAACTGTGTTGGTTCAACATCGATCAAGACCAGATACGCGAGGTGGAAGGCGTTGACAGTCGTGCGTGTCAGATACTCGAAGAGCTCCCTTTCAGAACCAATTTTCGAGCAGCGATTACGGCGTACATGGCGGAGAATGGTTGTCAACCTCCTACCGATGATCTCGCTATACACACGCGAACACATCTCGCCATCGCTTGCACGCAGGACGGAACAAACAAGGGCACACTTGTTCAAACTGCACGAGCGTCGCCGCGGTTCCACGGGAGACCAGTGCACAGTGACGTTGCAATAAGAGCAGCCAACGAATGTACGTGGTTCGCATCAGTGGCCATGTTTTTCGTCGTCGATGCACCCACAGACGGCGGCAATGTGGAACACAAGTGCGCTTTTGTGCAGTGGTACAAAGAGGTTGACAGTGAACGGGAACACGTGACAGGTTGCAAGGAATTGAAATGGGAGAATGCGAATGGACATCAGCACAGCAGCGTCGTTTCGACCGACACCATCTTGGACACTGCTCACATTGTTCCTCGCTTCTGTAAACCACAATGGGGATCGAAAATGCATGCGCGCCACCGTGAGGACTGTTTTTTTTTAAACAATTACATATTGTAGAAGGAATAAATTTGAAGTTCGTGTGAGAGAGAGAGAGAAAGAGAGAGAGAGAGAGAGACTCATTTCAATTACGACAAAATCAATAAGTCTGTCTATTTCTTGTCGTCGACAAGATGGTCATGCTGTCCTCGGCCGAAGTAAATCTTTCTAGTAGCTGTAAACAATTATGATGGCGTAACGCTGACATAACTACGAAGGAGAACCAAAACCTCATGCGAAACGAAGGTGACAAACAAAAGTTGACTACTGCGGGCCATGTAACCGAACACCACTGCTGGTTGTTCTCGTTCTGGCCCGCAGTAGTCAACCTCTCTCTCTCTCTCTCTCGCTCTTTCTCTCTCTCTCTCTCTCTCTCTCTCTCTCTCTCTCTCTCTCTCTCTCTCTCTCTCTCTCTCTCTCTCTCTCTCACGAACTC